CCATCCATCCATCCATCCATCCATCCATCCATCCATCCATCCATCCACCCATCCACTCATCTACCCATCCATTCATCCAATTATCTAACCAGTTGCCCATGGAAGGTCCTTGCCTCGATGTTGACCTGGTCAGAAGACTCCAAATGCCTGCCCACCTGAACTTTTCCCAGATTTCTGTCTCATCCTCTTTCTGTAACCAACATATATTCTGGTCTAAATCCTCAACTGTGGTCCGCGGACCAGCTGCAGCATTATGAGGTTGGTTTGAAATACCTGGGCCGTGCCTTAGATCCCCTGAATCAGTACCTGCATTGTATCAAGGTGCCCAGGTGATTTGTGTGCACATCACCATTTGAGAAGCTCTGCTCTAGATTCTAGAGTCTAGAACAGGGCACGGCAAACTTTTGAGACGGAAGAGCCGCCAGGCGTCAGCAAGCCGCGGCTCGTGAGCCACATGTGGCTCTTTGGGTGTGTACATGTGGCTCTGAAGTAAAATTGAAAATGAAAATAAAACCATCATAGTTTCATCTATAAAAAATTTAAAGGATATTATTCACATCATGGTGATTATGTAAAAATATATTTATGGCTCTCGAGTCATTTTTAAATTGTTGTGAGGGACAGGAGTGGCTCTTCCAGGGGTCGGCAAACTTTTGAGATGGAACGTACCCAAAGAGCCGCATGTGGCTCGCGAGCCGCCGTTTGCCGACCCCTGGTCTAGAACATTTTTTTCCAAAGTCAGTTAGGAATTGGGGGAGAAGTTCTAGAGAAGAGAGTAAGCCCAGGGTAGGAGAGGCCTCCTCTCTTAAAGGCTGATGGTCCCTCACTTTGGAAAGCACCAGTGGTATCTATTCCCTCCCCAGCCTATAGGACCACGTGGCTACCCGCCACCCCTTTCTTGGACTTTTCTCTGTCAACACACCCCTGCAGATCCCTACTCCCCCCCCCCTGCCCACACACACACACACAGCCAGGAGAGCTCACCCAGAGCATTGAAGGCAGGCAGCACCTCAAAAGTGATGCTTTGCGATCTTGTGGACAGCAGGACGGTGAGCCCGCCATGGGGCGTCTGGATCTCCATCTTGGCTTCCAGCTTCCTTTCAAGCTGACAGTCTTTCAGGCGCTTCCAGATTTTGTCGAGGATTTCATGTGGGATTTCCATCTGATCCTTGAATTCTTCAAGGTCACGGACAAAGATGACGAGGATACCATCGGAGTTGCCTCTTAAGACCGTTTCCCGGCCATAAGAGCCACCCTGCCAGGGACAGAGAAGCAGCTATGAGACTCTGGGCTCTTGGGGGTCATGGGGCACCCCAGCAGGCAGTGGTATTTCTCAACATGAGCAAAAGCCCAAAGTGTCACCATAGTCTTAAAACTGAGTTGCAGGTATCCACTTGTCTACCTGAAGACCATAGCAACACTTCATACTAGCCCCAGCCCGAAGGCATTTCCAGAGGTCATCAACCCTAGCACGGACAAATGTGGTGTGTCCATGCAGTGGAATACTATGCAACAACAACAACATTGGCACACAACCACAGAATTTCAGAAACAGGATGGGTCAAAGAAACCATACCTTCAAGCCTCACAGTCCATGAAGTCATTTATACAGGGCAACCAACCTGTCTGGCTCACCCACTTTTAGCACTGAAAGGCCCATTTCCCAGAAAACCCCTCGGTCCCAGGCAAAGTGGGATAGCCAGTTGGTCGTGTGACAAAGTTAAAAAAAGCCGGCAAAAAATTGGGCCGGCAGAGTGGCGCGATGGTTAAGAACTGGCTTGGGACGCCAGAGGGCCCCGGTTCGGATCCCACATATGAGGGCCAGTGACACTGCCCTCCACAGCTAAGATGCTGAACAACAGCTCAACCTGGAGCTGGGCTGCCGTGAGTCGCCGGCGACGGCGTAGGCTGCAGCCCCTGTGGCAGTGGGTTGCCATGGGCTACCGTGTGTAGCCAGCAGCCAGCGTGAGCGGCCAGCAGCCAGCGTGAGCGGCCAGCAGCCGCAGTGAGAGGCCGTCCAGAAGCCGGCGACTGATGTGCCTCACCCAGGAAGAGCACAATGATGGTGCCAACTTGGGCCAGTGAAGCAACGTCCTCCACAACTAGACTGAAGAACAAAACGACAGCAACTTGTCTGTTTCCCTTCCCCCCATTCCCCAGCACTGTTCCTATCCCCCCAATTCCCCAATAAAAATCTTAAAAAAAAAAAGCCGGCAAAACTAATCTACACTGTTAGAAGTCAGGAGTGCGTGACAGGATAGGGGGCCCAGGGGCCCTTGGGGGCTGGGAATGTTTTGTTTCTTGATCTGGGTGTCGTTACACACGTACGTTGTGTAACCCATCGGGCTGCACACCTAGCGCTGTGTACTTTTCTTTTTGTATGTTTTATTTTAATTAGAAAAAAAATTAACCCTACTGAGAAGCAGGGTGGTACAATGGTGAAGGGTGCGTGCTCCCACCTGGGCTTCACCCAACTCTGATGCCAGCTATTAAATAACTTCCCTGTGCCTCAGTTTCCTAATCTGGGCAAGGCAAGAGGCACCAAGTGTCCAGGTGTCTCTTTAGTGGCGGGGCTAGTGGGTGTGTGTAAGGGTAGAGGCCAGAAAGCACTGTGGCTGCAGGGAAGTGGGGCACCAGCGCTGGAGAGCATGGGGGTGGGGTGAGGGTGAGGGAGTCGCTAATGCCCTCCCCACCCCGGGGTCCTGGCGCTTTCTCAGTGCCCTTTCTTCCCCTGAAGGCCCAGAATCTTCAATCTCAGCTCTGGGGTTTGTGCCCATAAGACCAACCATTTCTAACTGATGAGGGCCCCCGAACCCCTCTTGCTGTTGGAAAACCACAGAGCAACCTTCTGGGTGGTTTTACTGAAATCCTTCAGCCTCAGTTTACTGCGAAGGAAGGAGAGAAACAATAACGGTGAGTAATCACAGCTCATTTACTGAGCATCAACTATGTACCAGGGCCTGCACTAAGGACATTAGGTGCTTAAGCCTCATAACACTTTGAGAGGGGTAGTATTCCTCTCCCATTTTATAGATGCAGAGACTGGAGCACAGAGAGGTTAAGCAACCTGCCCTGGTCACACAGTAGTAAAGGGCAGAGCCAGCTCCCGAGCCTGTGCTCTTAGACTCTACACTATAGCCCATCCTCTCACTCGAGGGTGAGGAGGACAAGATGATGAGCCCTGCACCTAGGGCTTGGCACACAGTAGGTGCTCAGCACTCAGTCACTCTGCCATCCAGTGGACAGTGAATCCCTGGCTCCCAGAAGCCTTGACCCCAGCCCTCCACTCACTTTGGCCACACCTGTCACCAGGGGGAACTCCTCGGTCTCCTGCAGGGCATCGCAGATGGTGTTCACAGCCTCATCGATCTGTTTCTGACAGCCTTCAAAGGGCCTCAGGTATTTCTGGATAAAGGCATCCAATTCCTGAGCAGGCAGTGGCTGTACCACGTTTCCCATTGCTCCTGCTGGCTGCTGAGGTGACAGCGAATGGCAGAGCGGGAGACAGAGGAGAAAGAGCAACTCCTGTGTTGCCAGTCTGGAAATCGAAACTCAAGGAACTGGGAAACTGAAACTCACAGAGCACTCCCAGATGACTTTCTCCACCCAGAGTCCTGCCCACCCCTGCAGCTGTGGTTATCTACCTTTCAGTTGCTCAAGGAGTCCTTGTGGTGAAACACGCAGCCTCTGGAGCCCCATTATGAGGGCTTGATACTTGCTAAGACCTGTGTCCCTGAGCACATTGCCTGCCTTTTTGGTGCCTCATTTTCCCCATCTGTAAAACGGGGATTACAGCGGTACCTCTCCCATTGGGATAACGCGAGGACGAAATCTTATCTGCAAAGTGCTTAGAACAGGGTGTAGCATGTGTCAAGTGGTATATAAGTGTTTGTTAAGCAAATACAATTTTACAGGGGCAGAGGTCGTCTTTTGAGGGTTTTTCTCCTTCTTCCTGTTCCCAGTCGCCTGAGAACTCAGCCTCACTGACAGCAGTGAGGAGAAAAAGACCCAGAGAGGTGACCGACTTTCTTAGGGACACACAGCGAGGCAAGGGCTGAGCCGGACTCAGGTTTCATTTCTGCCACTGGGCAAACCCAGGTCCTAGAGGAGTCAGCGGGTGGGGGCTTGTGTGTGCCCGGTACCTCAGCACACATGAACACCCGCAGAGCCTCTTCAGGCACTTATCTCACCCAGTGAGGACAGAAAACAGGCTCAGAAGCACGCAGGTCAGAGAGGGGAGACAGGTGTGCAATTTCTGTGTCTAGAGCTGTGAAAATTAAACTGCCACAGGGCTCGCACCGGCTGCCTCTGTGACACAGGAGCGAACATCACCAAGGTGTGGGGTGATTAATTTTGTATGTCAACTCGGCCGGCCCGGTACCCAAATATTTGGTCAAATGTTATTCTAGATCTTTCTGCAAGAGTTTTTTTTTATTTTTTAGATTGGATTAACAAGATCAAAGTACTTCAAGTAAAGCAGGTTCCTCTTTATAATGTGAGTGAGCCTCACCCAATCAGCTGAGGCCCTTCCTGGAAAAAAGATTGACTTCCCCCAAGGAAGAGGAAATTCCACCAGCAGATACAGCTGCAACATCAGCCCTTCCTGTTGGTTCCGTGTCTCTGGAGAACCTTGCCCACTAAAGGTCCTTCCCTGCCCTTGTCTGACTTTTACTGTAACACCAAGGGCGGTGATAAGGCTCCTTATCTGGGTGAAAACACGGAGATTCTGAGAGGGGGGAACATTTGCCGAAGGCCACACAGCTACTAAGTTGTCTGGCCAGGCTAGAATTCCACACTACCTGATCCCAAAGTCCGTGCTTTATTATTTTTAAAATATATCTTTTTTTTATTTTAAAAATATTTGATTTTGAAATAATTTGAAACACTGAGAAAGTTTGCCAGTTGAGTACCAAGAACGCCCTTACATCTTCACCCAGAATATTTTCACACTTGCCCCTCATTCTGTATGTACCTCTGATCAGTATTATTATTATCACATTTGAGTGCATGTTGCAGATATTATACCCCTTTACTTTTTAAAAGAAGTAGACTGTGTTTTTTAGAGCAGTTTTAGGTTCACAGCAAAATTGGGCAGAAGGCTTAGAGATTTCCTATATACCTCTTCCTCCCCCACAAGTACAGCCTCCTCCACTACAACGCTCCCCAAAGTGGGGCATTTGTTACAATTGAAGAACCTACATTGACACATCATTGTCACCCAGACCCCTTTACTCTTGTATCCTCTAGGAACACGGCTGCTTTCTCTCTGTCTCCTGGTCCTCCCCTTTGGGGTGGACCATGCCCTCACCCACCCAATAGATATTCACAGTGTTTCTGATGGGGACGCTGTCCCGGACACTGTCCCTCGGCATCCATTCCTCCCTGTGCCACAGGGGGTGGGAGATGAAGCATTCACTTTTCAGACTCCCCTGCTGCCAGCGTTCTGGCTGTAATTTAGGTTGTGTTTAAGGAGGGAGGCAGAAGCCACCTTCCTGTAGTGCTGGTGGCTGCCAACTTCTGAGAGATGTTTGTGGCTGCTGTCCCGGGTCTGGACCCCAGCTTCGAGGGTGTGAGGCAGTGGTGATGGCTGCAGTGATGTTGGCAGATGCCGCAGCAGCAGCCTGACGTCTGATTTAGCCGTGGTGATTTAATCTTAAAACGAATAGTCCAGTGGTGGCTCCAGCCTCCTCCAGCCCGTCCAGGGGTTCAGATGGAATCCCTTGCTGCTTACGATTCCCGGAGTACTTTCTGTTTTCCATGCTGAGTGGGATACTGTTGCTGGACTAGAGGTCAGGAGTGCCTCCTGCATGGACCTGGTGGATTTTCTCTGGAGGGCAGACAGGAACGGGCTGAGCACCGTTGTTTAGGCATTGGCTCACTTTTTGATATTTGGGATGGAGGACCCCACTGGTGGCATTCCAGCAGGTCAGGAGGAAAGAGAGGAACTCAGTATAAATCCAGGAAGGCAAGTAGGGCATGGTGTCAAGATGTACACACTGAGGGGATGAATGAAACAGGAAAGGTGAACAAAAGGAGGCCTGCAATGAAAAGGCGTCCAATGAGAGGGACTGCTAGAGTCATAAGGGTGATGGAGAAGCTAGAAACCCAGGCTGGTGCCCATCTATGGAGTCTGGACTCTCTCTCTCTCTCTCTCTCTCTCTCTCTCTCTCTCTCTCTCTCNCACACACACACACACACACACACACACACACACATCTGGCAGGTGTCCCTGAGTCTCCCCATGCTGAGGGCTGGTGTCCATCTGTCCATCTGTTATGACCACTGATTTTCTGGGCTTCACACAGCAGCCTGTGGAGGGTTACAGAAGATGTCGGTTACCCTTAGCCTTCCTGGAGAAGCCAAGACCACATGGACAGACAGGACATGGGGAATGTGGGAGCACACCTGGGCCCTGACTGGACCCTTCTCCTTTGGGAGGAGTCATGCCCCTCCTCTGACCACATTGCTCCCCAACAAAGGATGCTCCCTGCTGTACAAACAGGTCTCTCACCTTCACTGGCCATGGCTGGATGGGGGTGCCATCCCTGCCCATGCAGCACAGGGCAGATATGCAGGCTGCAGCTTCCTTGGCCAGCAGGTCCCAGCGGGCGTTGGGGCCCAGGTTGCCCGTCGGGTCAGCTGGATCCAGGATGATGGGCCTGGAATTACCACCCAAGTCGGTTTTATTCTTGGCAACATCCGGGTGTCCCCTTGGGGGATTGGTTGGACTATTCTCCTTCCTCACCCAACACTCTGGAGGGGTCAGGGGCAGGGCCCAGAGACTCCTCTGTGCTCCAGGCACACACACTAGAGGGCAGGATAGAAAATAAGCTACACATAGGCCCCTTCTACCGTCTGCATCCAGGCAGACATTACCAATCAACCATGCTTGCCCCTTCTGCAAGTAAAGCAGGCATCGTTAATCAACCATAGCACTGGTTCCAACACTCTCCCTTCCCGCACCTGTGGTAGACGTCACTAACTGATGAGGCCACTCTTTTCAGCTGAGCCAATTCACAACCGTAGAGCCCTTTTTAGTGCGTCAGCCTAAGTAGCCACTACCCACTGCCTGGAGATGCATCACAAATTCGTGAAAGCGTCTCTGCTATCTCTGTAGCGTTTCAGAGGTGGGCAAAATCCCAAAGCATGAGACATGCTTATGTTACCTGGTGAGTTCACAGGTTGGGTCACCAGATTTAAGAAATACACATAGAGGATGCCCAGTTAAATTTGAGCTTCAGATAAACCATGAATGAGGGTTGTTTTTTAAAGCACCAGTATATCCCAACTACTGTATGAAACATACTTATACTAAAAAGGTATTCATTGTTTATCTGAAATTCAAGTTTAACTTGGAGTCTTGCATTTCATCTGGCAACTCTCTTCACAGGTGACTAGGAAACTGACTGCCTGTCCCTCAGGTGCTAAGGGTATCACTTCTAGAAAGGAGCTCAGTTCTAGAAAGCAGATTTTCCTGTCTCTGCTCTGTGCCCTCAGGAGGTGGGGGGAGAGCGTCACCCTGGATCTGGGGCTCTGGGACATTGGGGGTGGGCCTGAACCTGGTCTTCTGAAGCTGCTGTTTCAGGAAGTCTCTGATGGTCTTGTCCTCATAGTTGTAGTTGATGGTCCAGTAGACACGGAGCTGGTGGTACTGGGTGACCAGCTCCAGGACAGTGCGAAAGCCCTCAGCCATGTTGAACCGGGGGTCCTTCCCACCCTGCTCCCAGGCATACACCGTCAGGAGTTCCAGCCCGTGTTGCGGGGGCAGGGAGCCTTTCTCCTTGGTTTTCTTCTTGCACTAGGGAACGAGGAGAAAGATGATTGGCTGGCCCATATTGGCAATGAAGAGGTATGGGAAGGGACCCTCCCAGAGCCAGCAAACCCACCCCCAAACTTTTACTGAGCACCTCCTGTGCCAGATGCCTTGCTTTGCATGATCCTAGCAAGTCCTGTGACACGGTTATTCGTATGTCAGCCCTATTTCACAGATAAGGAAACTAAGGTCCCGCAGCTAGGACAAATCCCTCTTTCTGCTCCACCAACCCAGGGTTCCAGCCAGGACTGGGCCTGCCTCCTCCCAGGAAAGCGCTCCTGAGGCAGAGCCCGGGAGAGTGGCCCCGGTCGTCCCTGCGCCGAACCTGCTGGTACCAGTGCTTCACCAGTCGGATCAGACTCTTCAGCTTGGTGGGGCGACAGATGATGAAGTCCCGCTGCAGCTCTGTGAAGCAGGAGGAATACTCGCCTGCGTGGTGGCAGTTGCGGATGAGGTCCACGTAGACTTGAGGGTGGGGCCTGGAGTGGGGGCGCAGCTGGCCTGGAGATAGGAGCAAAGTCACCTGCACTTCATTCCCTGGAGTCACAGTGGGGCCAACTAAAGGACTTCTGAGGTCTCCTACTTGGGTGTTTCCCTATGGGTGGTCTGGGACCCCCTGAGAGGCCACGGGGTGTTCTTAGGCGGAACACAAACGTGGCATCATCACCCAGTGTGAAATCCATGGTGAGCATCTTACTCCCTTTTCTGCCCCCTTTCAACCTCCATGTTTTTCCCACCGTGGAGAAAGTTTCAGCTGGGAGCTAACATGTCTTCAACGGCTCTCTGACATCTGCTCACCTCTCTATCAAAGGGACAGAGCCTCCGTCTCAGAGCGTCTGCCTGCAGGTGACAGAACTGTCTGTGGTGAGAGGTGACCGTCTGGCTCCAGCGCACTTACAGGCATTCTTTGATAGTCAAGCTCTTGCTCTCTCAACTGAGGAATTGAATAGATTCCAATACATTTCTGGGTCAATCTCTCCCTTGCTACCTGTTTTGCAAAATGCAGGAAGCAAATATGTGTACTTTGAGATACGGGGATTCCCTCCCTTGGCAAACTCTCCTGTTCAAACTCGGAACTGAACACATACAAAAAGATTTATGTCTGTTTTGTTCAGGGATTTATCTTCAATGCCCAGAAGAGTGCTGAGCACATAGTAGGTGCATTTATTGATTGGACTGATCGAACAGGTCTGTAGCAGGTAGGGGAGGTAGTACACAAATACTCGATGCACTGAAACACTTCAATGTCCCTCTCGTCAGATGATGACACCAAGGCTCCAGATAGAGGTGTCCCTTGTTCAAGGTCATCCAGCATGTTGGTGGAATTGCTGGGATGAGAACGCAGCTCGGGGCCACTGTTAGCCCATGTAGCACCTTTGCGTAAATGAGGAAAAGGTGCTCCTTCCTCCAGACACTTTGCAGGGGAGTTGTGATAAACACACATACCTAAAATGTGAACAGGTGTTCCTTGCATGACCTCTACAACTGCCCCTGGCAGCCCTGTCTCTGCTTTTCCCCTACTTGGGACGAGGCCTGGGCATCTCACCTAGGGCGTCAAAGGCTGGCAGCACGTCGAAGTCCACACTCTGATCCAGCATCGTCTGGGATGTCAGCGAGAACCTCAGCACGCGGGGATTGTCCCACTTGGAGATCTTGAACTTCACTTCGAAATGCTTCTCCCGCTGACATGCCTCCAGCTGGTCTCGGATCTCCGAGATGATCTCGGCCCGCCTGTTCCCTTGCTCGGTGAACTGGCTGAAGCAGCTGAGGAACACCACTATGTCGGCATCTGAGCGTCCTCCCAGAGCTGTGCCTTTGGCTGAAGAGCCACCCTGGGGAGGACAAGGCAGGTGGCTTGACCCCTGAAGTACTGCTTGACATCCTCCTGCCAGAGCCTATGGGCCCTGGACTTGGAGTTAAGAACTTGCTGTGTGACCTTGGGCTAGTCACCTAACCTCTCTGTCTTACATCTTTAACATGGGGTTACTATATGGCATAGTTGTGAGAAAAGGAAATGTACAAGGCATAAGTTTAAACCCTCCAACAAATGCAAAATTTCTCATTGCATCATGTTTGGGATTTGAGAATTTTCTTTTTCTTTTTTTTTTTTTTTTTTAAGCCTGCAGTTGGTTCTCAAGCTTATCTGCATCAGGAGACCTTTTAAAAATGACTGTTGCCTGGCTCCTATGCCTCTGAGGCTGTGATTTAATTTGCCTGGGAGGGGGATGGACATCAGTATATTTTTTTTAAAGCCTCCCTGTGATTCCAAGTGAAGCCACAGTTGAGAACCAGTGACTCAGGCTACTGTCCTCAAGTGTTATGGATGAGGAAGGCAAGGATCAGAGAGGGGAAGGTATTTGCCTGGGGTCTCACAGCAAGTCACCAGGCCTGAGACTTGTCACTGGCTGAATCTATGCTGACACTCTTTCCAGAGCTGACCTGCGTCTCCTCGTGACTCCAATTGTGAACTGAGTTCGTATCTGGTGCAGTGGATAATGTGACTTCTTGTTTACCCCAGCTTCCTTTCCACCTTCTGGGATCAGCATTCGGGTTTCCTTTGGGGGATTCATCCCTCCCCCACACTCAGCCCGTGAGGTCTACATGGGGCTGACTCCACCATGTGACCCAGGCTCGGCCAGTCAGCGCATGATGTCTCCCTGGCCCTAGTTGATTGGCTAATAGATATGGAGCCAGGCCAATGACACTCAGTTCCTAGACTTCTTTGAATTTTGAGAAAAGAGAATTCCTCTTTCTAGAAGTTTAGAGATGCTAAGGCCCGTCATACGGACAGGGCCTGTCCAAATAGAAGACGGAGCTGAGAACTAGAAAGAAAAGCTGAGTCCGGATGACCCAGCATGGGCTCCTGGATCTGGCTGTGCCTGAGGGGAGCTCTACTCCAGAGATTTCCATTTCCATCAGCCAACGCATTCCTTTTCGTTGCTTCTTTTGAGTCGGCTAGCATGAGCAACCAAAAGAAACTTGGTGGGAACACCTGGGCCCTACCTCAGCCATTTTCCCATGACTGCATTGTTTTCTCCTCTCTGCTTGGCCTTGTACTGGTTTCTGCAGGGGCCACAGAAGTGGGGAAAGTTTGGCAGCGGCCTGGGAGAGATCACTAGCCTGTGGGTAGCAGGGGCCTGGGAGAGATCACTAGCCTGTGGGACCCTCTTTGTCCTCAGTTCTCTGGGGACTCACCTTGACTACCTTGAGCACTTTGGTGGAAGAATTCCGGAAGCAGTTTTCCCTCAGGAATGAGCAGATGGTATCAACAGCCTTGTTTACTTGAGCCAGGAACTGGCGGTCAGGCTGGAGAAAGTCACAGATGAACCTGTCGAGGTCCACGGCTGGAGTTTGGTAAAGGAGAGCGGGCTGCAGAGAGAACCCAGGCAGGGTCAGCTCCAGACGTGTTCCCTATGAACACCCAGGCCCTGTCCCTGGATAGCCTATGAGGATAAGGCTCCCACTATCTCCTCTATCTCCTTTTTCTCCTCAGCTGGTTGGCAGATCGCAGCATCAGAGGGCTCAGAGCTCAAGTTCTGGTTCTACCACCACCACAAGCCTCAGTTTCCCCACCTTTAAATGGGGGTGAGAACGAGGTCTATGCCTCACTGGATTGTCTTGAGTGTTAAGCACTGGCTATGAGATCGTGCGCCAAATAGCAAATGTGGGGCCGGCCGAGTGGCGCGTTGGTTAAGAGTTGGCTTGGGAGTACCAGCTCTGAGCAGCAGGGCCCCGGGTCAGATCCCACATGAGGGCCAGTGACGCTGCACCCTCTACAGCTAAGATGGTGAACAACAGCTCGACCTGGAGCTGGGCTGCTGTGAGTCGCTGG